GAAAGAAAAAGAAAAAAAACAAACTGATTTGGAACTTTTCAACTGTGACAATAATTCTGCTGTAGTGAAACTTGAATGAGCAATATGCAAGGCAACAGAAATCTCTCCTGGGAAGTCTTTACAGAGGCCAAGATAAATTATATGCAGTTCAAACACCCTGGAGTATCCTAAATGGTAGATAGTAAATGAGCTGTGCTTAAATGACAGTAACTCATGTCAACTAGATTGTTATACCGAATTGTGGATACTGTTACTAAGGTGTTAGTAGTATACACTCAAAACTAGTAAACAAATCACACTAACAAGTTACTAATTCAGGAAGAGCAAGCCCTCACGTTATGCTGTTGCAGCTAGGTCCTGGGGGAAGTTATGAGCTCGGTCTGAAACTGCTTATCCAAAAAAATTAGGGGCAAGTACCAAAAAGCTGAGTATGGAGGTCACACTGCTGCTACATGTTTCCATGCTGCACTGCAGGCTGTTTGGGGCAGGCAGCTGCCCATGCTGCCAGCACCCGAGTGAAAAGGAAAGATTTAAAAAAAATAAAAAGAGAAAAATGAATCTATGCTCTACATTTTGGCTGCTTTTAAAGACTCTAGCTTGCTAATGAGGTGGCTGGCAGTGTCTTGCTGGGAGGAGACCTGGCATCCACTTGGAGAAAGAAGGGAAAGTGCTAGAAACGCCAATGTTAAGGTATGCAGACTTTGCAGAAAAATACTGCCGTGGCAGAGGCAGGCCAGGGTTCAGCCGAGCTGCTCGCAGCTGGGGGTGAGGAGCAGTGTCACTCCACCACACAGGACAGGCTTCAGCACTGCTCCTCTTGACTTCAGTGGCATGAATGATGCTCCAGTAGCAAATATTGAGACAACATGTGCGGAACTGGCCATAGATTAGAAATAATTTGCCGCTGTTTGATATCAGTGATCACAGCAATGAGTTTTATCAGTCGTCAAATAGTAGCTTTCAAATGCACTAGCCATTGTGGTCATAGGGAATAAGTAACAACAACAACAATACAAATAAATGGCTATGTTCCTCACCTTAAATAAATGTATGATTTCTTATTACATCATCAAACAATTGCATATTGCATAAGAAGAATAAATCCCAAAGTATAATGAAAAATAAGCAAATATAAACATATCACAAACCCATTAATAACTTAAAAAACCATGATCGCCCAATACACCTTCTAAATCTAAATGTATTTGTCAGCACATCTCTTACAACAAAAGACTTGAAGATTATAATTAAATCCTAAATATCACTAGGAACTATCTGGAAACTCCATTTTGTTTAGCCTGATACCAGTCTTGCTTTTCTCTTGAATCACTCGAGGTGCGAAGAGTTAGATATTGCTCTGGTATTACTGATAGCTCTGTTTTCCCCTATAAAATTTCTTGGCTAGTTAAGTATTTTTGGAAATTATTCGGTACTTTTAAAAGAAAAAATTTAATGGAATTTTGTGTTGATGTATGATGTTTTTCATTGTATTAGTTTAGACATGTCCCAAAGCATACAGAAGTTAATGGGAATTAATGCACAGACTTCATCCTTTTTATGTTATTATTGTTTTTTATGTTGCATGTTCATCTTTACAGAAGCCAAATATAACCCATGAAGCAGCTGCATACTTATTTGCATAAGCTGATTATAAAATAAAGTGTCATTTTGTTATGGGGTTGTACCATTCCCAGCAGAGAAGGATCAAGATCTGTGCCTGGGATTGTTAGGTATCAGAGCAGTGCAGATATAGAAAAATAAAAAATTCATCAGATTTTGGAGAATGCAGTGAGTGCAGGATAAGTCCAGCACTTCAATGCTTGTAGAATATTTTATATTCTGTGCTGCTTAAAAGAAAATTATCGCCGCTGATTTATGTCTCCTTGTTCTGTTTATCTCTATGCATCAAGTTTATGGCTCTTAATAATACGATTTAAAAAAGCAAAAGGAAAGTTTACAAATAATAACTTCTCATTGCTATTTCCAGTAGGGAGGCAGTCAGGGAACTGCTCCAGGGTTTAGGACAATTCTTCTCCCAAAGTCTTTCAGACAGTGCTATGGGAAGAGGGCTTCCCTGGGGTGCCCCCATCACTGACAGCTCTCGCAGGGCTGCGAGTCTGGCTCTGAGGCTTCAGCTGAGGTGTGCAGGCCTGAGCCACTATGGTTAACTTCCTAATGCTATTTTGGGGGACTTTATTAAAGCTGTCAGGGCTTTCAGTTAGATTTCTACTTGTTTTCAGGGGAATTTGTGAGGATTTAGCAGTGTTAAAGATCAGGTCACGTATGCAAAGCGATACTGACTTCATGCAAGCAGTGCTTTAAAATTACATGGGTGGAAGGCTCTGTGAAAGTGCAAAGTATTTTACTTATTTATTTTGTCTGATATTTATTAAGAGACTACCTGAGATAAAACACGTTAGTCTTTAGAATAGTTTTTAAATGAAAAAAATCTGCTAAAACAGAGAATCCCAACAAACACTTCACAAGACAATCGTCAGCCTGTACTGCGCTTCCTTGTTTGCTCCTGCCGGCTGCCAAGGTGCTCTGTGAAGGTATTTTTACCTCACAGGGAGTAGTTTTGACTGCTTTGGACATATTTACTGAGGAACTACCTTGTTGCCTGGAGAGGGGGAGGCTTCGTGTGGCTTTGATTGAGTGGTGCAGTCCAGGAAGAACCGCGGGGATCAGGGCTGTGGGTGAGAGCTTCTGTTTAGTCACTAATTCCCTGGCAATCCACAACAATGAGAACGCAAACATTGAAAAGGTTCATGATAGAGCAAGTTTTAGTGTTCAGTTTCTTATCCAAACTAAAGTCAGCTACCAGCCTAGGCAGTGTTGGTTTTTATAAACAAATTATTTCTTACCTATGAAACCTCATACATTAAGAATACACCCCCCCCCAACCTTTCTGAGATTACAGTATGTTAAACTGATGAAGAAGATCAACTATGATAGACAGTTATTGGAATTTCTTTTTATTTTTAATGGGACAAAAGCTGACACTGTCAAGTGAGTCACTCAGAGATCTCCTTATCAGTGTCAAGTTTGGAATATCTTTTCCTTGCTGATGATGTCAGGGAGGTTTCCTCACAAAATCCAGTTCTTCATAATTCCTCACCTGCTGTGCAGCGGGTGTGGTGCCTAAAGGGAAGTATGTGTTTGGAGACACTCTTGGCAAATGTCGCCTGTTTCCAGATCCCACCATTCTTAGCCTTCAGATTATATTTCCTTCATTTGTATTTTGGAAAAAGCATGACCAGGACATGGAGTCTCCATGCACCTGGTGCAAAATATGTCAGTGGGACAGGCCACCAATAGCCTTTGTATTGCCCCTTACTACTGAGAGTAACCTTCATGCTGGCAGCTGATAACTGCTCAGCATTTGAACTTTGTACCCTATGAATAGCTAAGTGATTTTTGTGGGTATGTCTTGTTTCCTAGGTTTAAAAAAAAAAGTTAAACAAAAAAACCCCAAACCAACCAACTTGCATATAGCATTATACTCAGAGAAGTCACTGGCAGGTTGGAACTTTTAGGTCCACTTGAGTTCGACCTGAAGTGGGGATCTGTAGGAGAAGCAAATTATCTTATCCTGTGCAATACCAGGATACAACCAGTACTGCTGTTGACAGCAGAGGAACGGGGAGACTCAGGGATTTAGTGTTCCCTCTTAGGCTTTGGAGGGAATTGCAATATAGGGTCATGGGCTCTACTCTTTTCTTTAGATGTGATTTCCTAGCCCATCCTTTCTGATCTGTCCCTATCCAGACCTCTGTCTTCACTACACCTGCTTCCTTCTTTTTTTGCACTCCTATTGAAGATCCATTCTGTAAGGTTCTTATTTCAGTGTACAAGCATCTGCCCAGACAGCCTGGACTTCTGTTGGTTTAGATTTGTAGATTTCTAAAATGTTTCCAGTGGAACTGTAGATTACTCAAAGGGAGTTTAAGCCTGCAAACAACATAATGTTTCCTAGCTACACATGATGGATCTGTCAAAGCAGGTATTGAAACTGGTAGGGTGTGTATACATCTTACGCAAACCACTTACATTAAAGTAGGAAGAAAGCATTGAATAATTTTCTTGCGAGCGAATGAAGTTCTTGGAGACTCCACGTTTTTCAAGGAGTGCAAATAAACTACCTTCAAATCCTCCCATAGCAGGCAAGATGGGGGAGCTCACTAGCTTCAGCTGCTGAAATATACCCCCCCGCCCCCATTTTTTAAGGTAAGTAGCAAATGCCTGGCCCCTGCCTCGGAAGGACTGGAGCCAAGTGCCTAAAGAGGGGAAAGAGAATGTTTGTGTTGTGCAGCTGCCTCAGCCATACAGGTCTCAGGGAGAACAGATGCAAGCTGTAGCAGTGTTATTCTATCTTTTTGAAATAAACATTATTCTGAGCTACTTAAACATCAGGTGGTTTTCTAGTGATTTTTTGTTTGTTTTTTTTTTTAACATGCCATTTGTTTTCTCTTGTTTCTTCCTGTTATCTCCATTCCCTACTTTCGGCAGTCATCTTTGGACATTGAGCACATTCTCTGAACTTAAAGGCTGAAGATTTAGCTGAAAGACAAGGTCAGGACACTTTGGCAAATGCTTCTAGTGGTGAATGGGTTTTGTTTTTTATTGTAATAGAGTCTTACATCTGTTCCTGTTTGTCTGAGACTTTAGGATTTAACAGTGAGAGAGCAGACAGTACATCTAAGCCATTTTAGCGGGCGGAAATATTGGGATTTTATAGGTTTTTTTTCTATTGCATGTATTCCAACAGTATTTTTAATATATATATGTATATTTATATATACTTTTATATATGTAAAAAAACATATAAAAATATAGATATGTTTTACAGTTTCTGAAGTCAGAAGATATTCTACATTTAGCCTGGGCTAAAAGAAAAATCTCTTGGATGAAAAAAAAAAAAGAAAGAAGACAAACCACAGGATTTACTATGTCAGTATGACGCATTTGTTCATGGTGGTTTTTTACTGCACATCCCTAACATGGATTTCAGAAAGCAGGGCATGGAAGCAGATGCTTTTAAGGAGGAAGGCTATATGTCACAGCAGACTGCCAGTGATCTGGCAAGCATGGTACCATCTTCCAATATAACAATTGAGAAGGTCATGCCTTCTTTATCCCTGGGTTGGGTTGACAATACGAGTGAGTCCTCCAGCAAGCAGTGTCCACTTTTGTACACTTCAGAAGCCAGCGGTATGATGGGCAACAGTAATGCCTCAACAGATAACTTGGGCCACAATCAAGCTTTTCAGCATGCAAGGCAATTATATTATTTGGCCAGCTCTGATGTTTTTCCTCAAAAGTTGGCTTCCAGTGTAACCCAGGCTGGAATTCATGATGCAAGTGACACCTTGGAAATGTTCACTCCTCCTCTGCTCCCCGCCTCAGGGCCTGGGATGAACCATTGTGCTCCCACCTACAAAAACACGGAACAGGTTAGTTTTCTTTAAATAATCACTGACTTTATAACTGCATATTGTATATTTCTGATAGTTGCACCGCCTCTTCAGGAAGAAAGGGCCAGTAACTTTTGTGTCTGTCTACAGGTAGGAAGCTTTGCTGGCAAGCACTGGGAAAAACATCATAACCCTGTGTCTGATGCTGTTGCTCTAATGCATCCAGGCAATAAAGTGCTTTTCCCAAGAGGCAATTAATCAATTTTTCTCATGTTCCTCTTGTTCAATAGTTATCGCTATCTCCCTCCCTCTGGTGAAAAAGATTGCATGTTCTGACTCCACGTACTCATGTGTGTAATGGTTGTGGGGCGTGTTTATGTTCTTATTTCCGTATGACTTTCCATCAGTCCTTTTCTCATGCTCCATCTCTTTTTTTATCTTTTTTCCTTTTCTGACTTTTGCCTCTTCTTCTTAGTTTTGACAAAGAAGTGATGGACAGGAGTAACTCCACAGTATCTCTTCCACTGAGTGCTCTATGTGCTTCTCATAGCATAGTAAACAATACAGTGCCTTAGTTGCAGATTTTAAAGAAACTCTTATGTTTCCAATACAGTTGAATTTATTATTTAGGATGTGTCTATGTTGGCACTTTCTCCACTGGAAGTCTATCATAATTTTAACATTTTTTGATGATGTCAAAATCAGAAGTACCTGTGCTAACAAGGTTGCATTGTCTGCCTCTTGCCCTTAGCACACCTCACCTCAGGGCTTCTTTTCTTGACACAGGTGTTGGCACCACCTCTGCACAACAGACAAGTGCTGGGAAAAGTGTTGTTCTTCAGTCACATGTCAGGAGATTTGCAGCTGAGCTGTGCCAGTGCAGTGGCTCCTTGATCATCTAAATTTCCTGTGGCTGAGGACTGCTAAGTGTGTTGTTGAGCCTGCCCTGGGATCCAGTTCCCCACTGCCCTTCTCAAGGGGATACTTAAGATCCAGTCAGGAGTCCTCACCACCTTCAGCTCTCAGTCTAATGAAGATTTTAGTAGTTTACATATAGGGATAGGAAACATTATTCCTTGGTTGTTGGGAAAGTATTCATGTAGGTAAGGCTGCAGTTGAAGAAGTCCCAGGAGTCTGCTACTTCTTTTCTTGGATGACATAAACCAGATCATTAAGCTTAATGACCAGAATGTATCCTGTGATATCCTAAACTGTCAACAGCTGGTTATAAAATCTGATACTGAGTCTTGGGCATTCTTTGTTCTTTGGTGGCTTCTGGCATTTGACTGTGTGAATTACTTGAAATGTTCTCAAAGATTCTGGTAAAGAAAAAGAGAACTTGGGGTTTGCTTTGTTACATGGTGCTTCTCAAGTGATACCAGACAGAGGGGCAGTAGAGTGAAAATGATGCTTCCAGGCAGACTTCTGGGAAGCTCCAGGCACAGCAACAACATAAGGTTGTCTTTACACTGTAAGTTTTAGTTCTGGAACAGATCTGGCACTTCACAATAAATAAAAAAGAAAAAGAGAAAAAAAAGACCTGTCTCTTGCACTACCGATCTCTGGTTGTTCTTCCCAGTGGACAGGACAGGAGAAACAGATGAGTGGGAGAAGGAGTCAAATAAACATAAACTGGGAAACTCAGAAGGCCAAGGCAAGTTGCATAGGTGTGTACCTGCAGGGAGGCAAGGGGGAGTGCCTGGCCTGCAGAAGAACTGAGGAACTAGTGGCAGCAATTTAGTCAGAGGCAGAGTCAGTCCTTTCTCCATGTTAGTGAAGATTTCTGTGGAGGCAAAGACTGGACTTATTCTTCTATCCTTCCATCCCTAATTTCAGACCATGCTCATATTTCCTCCTAATTGCATCTGTGCTCTGTGGATATTGACTTTTGAAAGCTGCTTTTCATCGACGATACTGGTGATTTCCATTTATCAGATAGTTCAACAAACAATGAAAAGTTGGACCCTGGCACATTTTGAAGTTTTACAGTGAAGCCTGACCTGAGGGTATCATCTGCTCTGATGCTGTTCTAACACCTTCTTGGTGCGAAACATGGATGGACACTTCTCTCCCTTTTGTGCTTTAGCTTCTGTGGGAGGGAAATCCCAGCACATAGACCAGAAAAAAACTGTGGCGGATGTAAGGCTGAGTAGCAAAACCTGGCAAGGCACATACTGCCTGCACAGTATTAGTGTACCCTTTGAGTTGTAAAATGGCAAAAGAGTTTTAAATACAAATGTCAACATTCTTTATTAAAAGTGATACACACTTTAAGAAATACCTACCCCCAAAGTCCAGATATGGTGATTCTGTCTGATTTAAAACCATCCAGAAATGTAGTTTGATACTGTATCTTCATGACATTTTCAGACTCCAGGGAAGCAGGACCAGGTGATGAGGCAGCAGATGGAGCAGCTGCAAAGGCTGGTGGCTGAACAGCAGAAAATCATTGCACTTTACAACCCAGGTACTCAGGGAATCCCTCCTGATGCTGTGGCACCCTCACCTGCTGATGCTTGCACTCCAGCAGTGAAATGTAGTAGTTCCTTAGAGAAAGAGAAGGTTTGACAGTTGCTTTTAGTGGCTGAGGGCTCTTCCTCTGGCAGTTGGGCTAAAACATTCATTTCTTTACACATATTACACACAAGCTGTAACACTCAGAAAACACTTCTTTCCAATTTCGTATATTAAAATTCCAGGAGAACCATGAGGAGGAGTTGTCCTTTATGTTTAATAACAAACTTCCTGCACAGACTTCTCTTGAAGTATAGATTTGAATGGTACTGTAGAAAATTATAGTATAGTGGTGAGCATTACAGAAAAGCCGAAATATCTTTTTTTTCTGTACATATATATGAAAGTTACAGCTTTTATGTAGAAAAAAAGCAAGAGGAAGAAAGTCAACACACCAGGCTTCTGTTAATAGACTCTTACCTTTAATAGTACAGCCTGTTCCTCACAGCATGATACAACTCCTTGAACAGCTTCATTTCACCAGTGGTATTGCCAGAAAACGCCATCTGCTCAGCAAGTAGAAAAAGAGGAGCCCCCCCCACCTTCCCACCCTGTCCACCGTAGTAGCACCTTCTCCTCAGCATGTGACCCCATGGTGAAAGAAGAATTCAGCAAAATCATGTAGACTTGTGACAGCATTGGCCTGGCTTTAGCAGGGCTGTTTGTGCATAACATCAGGCAGGGAGCACCCATAAGGGCATAGGAAGGCCAGGTGATCCTTGGATTGCTGCTGCTCCTCAGATAACCTACTGGGGAGGCAGCTTCACCTAACCCATGTGGTAGGAGCCTAAGCAGCCTAAGGCATCCCCTGCCTCCATCTGTGCATTGATCTGGCATCAGTTTTCTCAGTTTAATTTCAAGCTTCTTTGCCCAGTTGAGGAGCTACAAGAGTCTCAGTCTGCTAGGATCTCAGAGGACAGTTAGGAGAACTAGGTGATGGCACCTTGCATGCTAGACTTCAGTGTAGCCTGGTGGGGTCTTACAAATAGCTTTTTAGAGCTGAAAAGCTACATTTTTTTCAAAACTTTCTTCCTATGTTCTAACCATACATAGTGTGAGGAAGTCCTCTCAGTTAAAGACAGCCATGTCTTTTGCTGTCCCTCCATGCATGTACAAAAATACTTCATAGCATACCTAGTCTGACCAGTTGGTCACTCAAAACAATAGGCATTACTTTAGGCAGAGTTAATGATAATAATAAAACCACCAAGAATTTATGGTCTCTTACCTTCCCCCCGCCCCCCGCCCTGGAAACTCTGGGAGTTGGCACTTGTTGGTTGGCTTTAGGGAAACATGACCTTACGTTATTGTTGCCATAAAAGAAATTGAAATTTTTGCAAGTTTCATCTACCTCGCTAATGTATATAATAGCAGTTATTAGCCAACAAATAAAAGGGTTTAGAAAAGTGAAATTAAACAGCATTGGCCAGGAAAATGCTTGCAGGCTTTTAACTTCCCTCTACTCCCAGTGTAACAAAAATGGAAGAAAATAAAAAACCCCAGTCTTTTAACCCTGTGTATGTGCATGCATTATTAGATCTGTATAAATATGGTCTCTGCTGGCTTCAAGTGTCAGTGTCTTTTAAGAGGATCTGAGCTCCGGGGCTTTGCTTCATTCCTTCTCAGCCACATGGGGTCAGAGAAACTTCTGTAGGAATGACAAAAGTTTGGGCGGGACAAAAAACGGACAACGGGATCCAATGGACTGTTGGGGTGCAGCAGATACTGACATTGAACATGTTAACAGCAACAGACCATCTAAGGCACCTGAAGGTGCACAAGTCCATGGGACCTGATGAGATCCATCCGTGGGTCCTGAAGGAACTGGCGGATGAAGTTGCTAAGCCACTACCCATCGTATTGGAGAAGTCATGGCAGTCTGGTGAAGTTCCCACTGACTGGAAAAGAAGGGAAAAAAGGAAGACCCGGGGAACTACAGGCCAGTCAGTCTCACCTCTGTGCCTGGGAAGATCATGGAACAGATCCTCCTGGAAGCTATGCTAAGGCACATGGAGGACAGGGAGGTGATTCGAGACAGCCAGCATGGCTTCACCAAGGGCAAGTCCTGCCTGACCAACCTAGTGGCCTTCTATGATGGAGTGACTACATCAGTGGACACGGGAAGGGCTGCAGATGTCATCTATCTGGACCTCTGTAAGGCCTTTGACACGGTCCCCCACAACAACCTTCTCTCTGAACTGGAGAGGTAGGGATTTGATGGGTGGACTGTCTGGTGGGTGAAGAATTGGTTAGATGGTCACATCCAGAGGGTAGTGGTCAATGGCTCAATGTCCAGATGGAGATTGGTGACGAGTGGCATCCCACAGGGG